CGGGTGCTGGAGAGGTGAGTAAGGACTTGCTTTTTACCTAACACCTGAAGAAACCCTTCTTGTTACTCTTAACATCTCTTGCTAACTGCAACTCCAAGTGTGATTTGGCCTTCCTGATTTCACTCCTGCACGCCTGAGCAATATTTTTATACTCCTCCCTGGTCATTTGTCCAATCTTCCACTTCTTGTAAGCTTCTTTTTTGCATTTAAGATCAGCAAGGATTTCGCTGTTTAGCCAAGCTGGTCGCCTGCCATATTTACTATTCTTTCTACACATCGGGATGGTTTGTTCCTGCAACCTCAATAAGGATTCTTTAAAATACAGCCAGCTCTCCTGGACCTCTTTGCCCTTCATGTTATTCTCCCAGGGGATCCTGCCCATCTGTTCCCTGAGGGAGTCAAAGTCTGCTTTTCTGAAGTCCAGGGTCCGTATTCTACTGCTCTCCTTTCTTCCTTGTGTCAGGATCCTGAACTCGACCATCTCATGGTCACTGCCTCCCAGATTCCCATCCACTTTTGCTTCCCCTACTAGTTCTTCTCTGTTTGTGAGTAGCAGGTCAAGAAAAGCTTTGCCCCTAGTTGGTTCCTCCAGCACTTGCACCAGGAAATTGTCCCCTACACTATCCAAAAATCATCTCCATCTTCCACCCCCACCAACTGGATTCCCTCTGCTCCAGGGCTGAGACCGCAGCTCCTGCGGCCTGACAAGCAGCCTGCAGTGAGTGCCGTGAGGACACAGCACTGGGGCAGACAGGCAAACCAGGAGTGCACACGGAAGCCGTATAAAAGCAGCTGAAGCTTGGGATCAGGTTCTGTGGCAGGCGGGTGAGATTGTGCATCATACAACTTGTGGTCTCTAAAGCTCATCTGAGGGCAGAGACCATTGTGTGGTTTATTTCTTTAGCTTTCAGCTCCCTTTTTCTCCTCTGGGCTGGGAGTCTGTAGCAGGCAGGGTCCCTGGAATGGGGATGGGCTGGGAGCCCTTTGTCTTGCACCAGGCCTTGGGGGCAGGGCAAGGGATCAGCTCTGGAGCTAGAAGGACAGCTGATAGAGACAGAAGGATAATCCCCTGTGTTAGCTGGGAAGGCGGGATGCTGGGCAGAGGGTAGGGTGGCTTCGGTAGCTCACAGGGAGGGATATAAATGGCACCGCTTTCATTAGCTGGCTATTTACACACATACAGGGCACCGTATCCTAGGTGACCAGATGATAAGTTCAAAATATCGGGACCGCCGTGGGGGGTGGGTGGGGGGGAGACGCCTTTTCAATTGTTACACTCACCACATCCGGGTCTTTGGCGGCATTCTGGCCGCAGGTCCTTCAGTCACTGATGATCTTCAGCAGCATTTTGGCAGTGGGTAATAAATCTTCCCGCCAAACAAAGAAGTACCCGCCACCAAAACGCCACAGAAGACTGTCAGTGACCGAAGGACCCACCGCCGAAATGCCACCGAAGACCCGGACATGCCAGGTGAATGTAACAATTAAAAAGGCATTCCCCCTGCCTTTCACCGCTGAGTCTGACATACGCTCTGCATGACACTTTTGATCACTACATAGAGGAGCACCCATGGAAAAAATGAGCCGTTGCTTAGCCCCTATTGGCAGCCAAGCTCCCCTCCCTCCCTTCAGCACCTCTCTCTCACCGGTGGCCCTGGGGATCAAATCCTCCCACTCTCTCCCTGTGCCTTCCACTCACCACAGATCAGCTATTCTGCAGCATGCAGGAGGTGCCGGGAGGAGCAGAGACGGGGCATGCTTGATGGAGGGGGCAGAAAGATGCAGGCAAGAGATGGGGCAGGGGTGCGGTCTGGGAGAAATGTTACCTGGTGTTGTCAGAACCCCCAACAGGGGCAACTTAATTATTTCACTCCAGGAGGTGTAAGGAATAAATCAACAGGAACTCAGCGATTCTGTCTGATCAAGAAGTAGTGAAAGTAAGCGTGCTCTTGTCTCACACTGCAGTTTATTAGATTTAAGCACACACAAGCATAAGCAACAGGTATAGAGCATCCCAGATATTGCCCTAACACCTGGAACCATATTGAGTAACTAAAAGCAGGTTTGCAGTGGCCAGTTGCTCATTCACCGAGGAGAAAGGATGTCAGGAAAAAGGTCTCTCAAGATGGCTTCATAGGACTGCTCCGAAGTGCAGTCTATTAGCCAATCTTTTATAACTAACTTCTACAAAACACATAGGTCATAATGACCCTGTTGGGTCACTTTTCTAACTTTCAGTAAACTTTTAATATCAGAGGGGTCTAGACTCAAGGTTTTCCAAGCACCAAGGTTTTCAATCTCAGTTGTTTAATTGTTTGTCCCTTCCTCCCATTCTGATTAGCTGAAACTGCCAGCTAGAGATGACCTTGCTTCTGAAAGCCTGTCTCCAAATTAACCCTTAACTATGTGGTGTTCTGTTTCATTAATTCAGGGTGGCTGCATGCACATAATATGCTTGCAATTAGCTTGAGCACATTCTGAGGTATACACACCCCTCAAATCCAGGGCAAGAGAAGGGGTGGAGTGGGGGCAGGGCCTGGGGTGGAGCAGGGGTGGGAAGAGGCGGGGCAAGGTTGGGGGCTTGGAGTTAAAGTTGGAGTGGGGGCAGGGCTTGGCATGGAGTTGGGATCAAGCACCCCCCGGATAGAGAGGAACTCAACTAATGAGCTGCTTAGTCTTTACTTAGCCTTCAATTCTGGTGGAATTCTCCAACGAGGTGTCCCCCACCCATCTCCCCAGCAGGCCTGATCGGCCTCAGACCCTGCCTCCTGGATGGAGCCTTGCAGGTCAGGAATGTGTGTGTGCACATGAATGTGTGCATGTGCATCCATGTGTCTTTTTGTGCACATGGATCTGTGTGTGGTGTGTACATAGGGTGACCATATGTCCCGATTTTATAGGGACAGTCCTGATTTGGGGGCTTTTTCTTATATAGGTACCTATTACCCCCCACCCCATCCCGATTTTTCACACTTGCTATCTGGTCATCCTATGTGCACATAGGGGTATGTGCAGCTGAATGCGTGTTTGTCTGCGTGCCCATGGGACTCTGTGTGTTTGCACGTGCAGCCGTGTATGTGCATCTCCAGAATATCCTATAGCCCAGTGGTTTAGCATCCTCACCTGGAACATGGGAGACCCAGATTCAAATCCCTGCTCCACTGAAGATTTATTTGTACAAAGTGGAACAGCTCCAGTTTGACAATCTGAGCGCCCCACCCAGAATAGCCATTTGCTGGGTACTCAGGGCACTCATGTGGGACGTGGGAGACCTGTGTATAACACCCTGCTCCAAATCAGGTAGAGCAGAGATTTTGGATCTGGGTCTCCCACGTGTCTCTCGGGTCTCTCACCAGAAAGCTCTGACCTGTCCTAGGCACCTCACTCCAGGAGAGGGTGCACAGCTGACAATCCCACATGGAAATCGCCACCTCTCTCCAGCCCCTCAGCCAAGCTCCTAGAGACCTAAATCAGTGGGACTTAGGTGCTTAAGGAGCCAGTATGGGGTTTGGAGACCAGAATGGCTTCACTGGAGGAGCTAAGGGAGACAGAGAGGTACACAGATGAGACTTCCCAGGACACAGTAGAATGGTCCCACCTCCAGTCTGACAGCCTCTGTGCTGTTGAGGAGGATGAAAGTCCCAGGGAAGAAGAACATCCAACTGGAGCAGAGGGAAACGATCCCATAGTTCAGACTCTCCTTCAAGATGAAGTTATGTTCTCCTCTTGCACTGAGGATACCTCTGTGGGAAGAATGGGCTCCACCTAAACCAAAATGGAACCAGATTGCTGTTTAATATAAACAAGGTCATAGGGTAGTTGATAAACAAAGGGCTGGGGAAAGCCGACGGGTGCGGAGGAGCATGTGGTTCAGACTGAGACATCCCTAGGAGAGGATCTATTAATGGAGATTTTCTATGTCCTGGTAAGGAGGAGAGGATGGAAGGTGATAAAATATGGGTAGGAGCTGATGAGAAAGAGTCAAATGAAAAAGAGTCCCGTTCAGTTACATTATGAAATGGCAGACAGTTAAAAAGTAATATTTTAAAGTAATTATAGCTAACTGCCAGAAGTCTAAATCATAAGATGAGTGAACTAGAGTGCCTCGTGTTAAATGAGGATATTGATATAAAAGGCATCACAGAAACTTGGTGGAATGTGGATAATCAATGGGACACAGTAATACCAGCATATAAAATATATCGGAAGGGCAGAACAAGTTGTGCTGGAGCGGAAATGGCACTATATGTGAAAGGAAGTGTAGAATCAAATGAAGTAAAAATCTTAAATGAACCAAACTGTACCATAGCATCTCTATGGATAGTAATTCCATGCTCTAATAATAATATTGCAGTAGGGATATACTACTGACCACCTGACCAGGGAACTATGCCCATATTGACTGGGTACATGTCACCTCAGCACGGGATGCAGAGATAACGTTTCTTGACACTTTAAACGATGGCATCTTGGAGCAGCTGGTCCTGGAACCCACCAGAGGAGAGGCAGTTTTTGATTTAGTCCTAAGTGAAGCACAGGATCTGGTCCAAGAGTTGAATATGGCTGGAGCACGTGGTAATAGTGACCATAATATAATGAAATTTAATATCCCTGTGGCTGGTAAAACACCACAGCAGCTCAACACAGTAGCATTTAATTTCCAAAAAGGGGGACTACAAATGAGGAGGTTAGTTAAACAGAAATTAAAAGGTACAGCGCCAAAAGTGAAATCCCTGCAAGCTGCATGGGAAGTTTTTAAAGACACCATAATAGAGACTCAAACTAAATGTATATTTAAAATTAAAAAATTAAATTAAAATTAAAAAATTAAAATTAAAATTAAAATAAAAAAAACACAGTAAGAGAACCAAAAAAGTGCCACCCGTGGCTAAACAACAAAATAAAAAAGCAGTGAGAGGCAAAAGGCATCCTTTAAACAGTGGAAGTTAAATCCTAGTGATGAAAATAGAAAGGAGCATAAACTCTGGCAAGTGAAGTGTAAAAATATAATTACACAGGCCAAAAAATAGAATTTGAAGAACAGCTAGCCAAAGACTCAAAAAGTAACAGCGAAAATGTTGCCAGGAGGAGTTGTTATGCTTATAAGAAGCAAATGGGATTGTTTTCAGAGTAAAAGGCAGTATGCCACGTTTACTGAAAATACAACAATTAGCATATGCATTCAGTCATACCACACGCACACTCAGACATACATTAAGAAGAAAATCCTTGAAAAAGTGTAGACCAATTCCTAGAGGCAGGGCCGGCTCCAGGGTTTTTGCCGCCCCAAGTGGCGCAAAAAAAAAAAGAAGCCGCGATCGCGATCTGCGGTGGCAATTCGGCGGGAGATCCTTCGCTCCGAGCGGGAGTGAGGGACCGTCCACCGAATTGCTGCCGAATAGCTGGACGTGCCGCCCCTCTCCTGAGTGGCTGCCCCAAGCACTTGCTTGGCAAGCTGGTGCCTGGAGCCGGCCCCGCCTAGAGGGAGAAAGGGAACTTGCTAATGTCACAGAAAAGGTAGACGTGTTCTAGAAACATTTTTGTACTGCATTTGGAAAGAAAACATTCAAGAAATTGTTTTGTTCTGCATTCCAAAAGAAGCAATATCAGGTACTCATGTCACATGTGATGATGAAATACTTTCTAGCCCATTAGCAGTCAAGGGGGATATTAAACAGCATCAACGGGAGAACCTTAGAGTTACGAACACCAGAGTTACGAACTGACCAATCATCCACACATCTCATTGGAACCAGAAGTACACAATCAGCCAGCAGCAGCAGCCGAACCAAAAAAAAAAAGTGAATACAGAACAGTTCTGTGTTAAACATAAAGTATTTTTTTAAAAGGGAAAATTTAAAAATAGATTGTACAAATTAGGAAACAATGGAAAAGCTGGAATGGGATTAGTTTAAAAAAAAGTCTAGGAACATAATTAACGCCAATCAACAACATGGTTTATGGAAAACAGGTCTTGTCAAATAAAATTGATTACAGCCTTTAATGAGAGTACACGTTTGGCTGAACAAGGGAACGATGGAGATGTAATAGATTTTGATTTCTCGGGGGCATTTGATTTAGTAGGGGAAAACATTCAGATAAAAAAGGAACACTATAAAATATCAGTAGAGCACACATAAAATGGACTAAAAACTGACTGACATATCTAAGAAAGCCGTTGTCAATGGGCCATTGTCAGTGAACGGGGCTGTTCCTAGTTGGATTCTGCAGGGATCAGTTCTAGGTCTGATGCTTTTCAATATTTTCATCAATGATCTGGAAGGAAATAGAAAATCACTGCAGATAAAATTTGTGGATGGCCCAAAGATTGGCAGAGTGGTTACAATGAGGAGGCGAGGGCAGGCATACCAATTGGTCTTGAGCGTTTGGTGAGCTGGGCCCATGAAAACAAAATGCAAAGTTATTCTCTTGGAACAGGAAATCCAGGCCCGACCCACAGACTAGAGCCTGTATTATGGAATGCAGGGAACCTGAAAAGGATTTAGGGGTCACTGTGGGCAACCAACTCATTGTGAGCTCCCAGTGCGATGATGGGGCCAAAAGGGCTAATGTGATCCTTGGATGCATAAACAGGGGAGTGGTGAGTTGGAGCAGGGGAAGGATTTTATCTCTGCACATGGCATTGGAGAAACCAACTCTCTCCAGTCCCAGGGTCCACATTTCAAAAAGGAAGTTTAAAACTTGGAGAGGGTGTTGAAAAGAGCCACACAACTGATTTGAGGCTGGAGAAAATGCTTGACAGTCAGAGATTTAAAGAGCTTCATCTATTTATCTTGTCAAAAAGATGATCAAGTGAGACTTTCAGGGGAGAAAACTGTGGGTAATAATGGGTTCTCTAATCTAGCAGAGAAAGACAGAGCAAGACTCAATGTCTGGAGGGTGAAGCCAGACAAATTACAGGTGGAAATAAGGCCAAATTTTTAGCACTGAGGGTGATTAGCCTTTGGAACAAAGTTTCATGGATGGTTTAGACACAACAAATCCTGCATCTTGGCAGGTGGTCAGACTAGATGACCCTTGCAGTCACTTCTAACACTGTTGCTCTACGATTCCATGATATAAAATCCTAGTGTAGACCCGGCCTTAGTCACACACAAGCCATGGAGCTCAATGCAGTGATAACTGGGGAAAATTTAATGGCCTGTGTTATACGGGAGGATGGAATTGATGATCTAATTGACCCTTCTGACCTTAAACGCTATGAAAGTAGATCAGGCATTTATATTTACTGTGTCTCACAACACACACAAAAAGGGAAAATTCAATTACATTGGCAGTCTGTATACATAACACCGAGAAAAGAAAATTGTTTACAGATAATCCATATTTGGCGAGTGGAACTCCTTGTCACAGACATTCTGGAACAAAGAGTCTAGGTCAGTGGTTCCAAACTTTAACAACGCATGAACCCCTTTCACTAAAATGTCAAGTCTCGCGAACCCCCTCCTAAAAACGAATATTTCCAGGGATTTTCTCCTTTACCTGAGTATAAATTATAAAAGCAGTGATCTTGGAAATATAAAATTTGTTTTTATGACATGCTTATTACACACTATTTATTATTAATTATTATGTATCATTACAGTAATTTTATGAGATTAAGAAAACGGCAATACTCTTCCAAGATCTCACTTTCGTAGCTTGTATCACTTGGATTAAGCCTGTTATAAGACAAGGCTCCTATGTTTCATCAAGGAGTAGCAGATGTGAAACAGCATGAAGTTATTTAAGAAGCCAACTCAAAGAGTTCCTCCTACACAAGCATTCAGGTCTTGAGCAGTCCAGGCAAAGAATGCATGTTACACCAAAGCTTAAACTTGTTCTTCATAATAATTTTAAAAAACAATCCTAGCTGCCTATTTAATTTTAAAAACAGCAAAAAATATCCGACTCCCTTTCCATTTTTTATAAGGAGTCTTGAAGTTTAAATCTCCTCAGTGTGATAGATATGCTTGCTTTGATCTGCTTAGTTCTTGGAAGTCCCCAGGGCTCCAGGCTGCTGGCCCCATGCTGCCAGGATCCCTAGGGACAGCTCTGTCTGCCATTAGGGAATTTTTGCCCGAGAACCCCCTGTAAGATT